TTTCACTTTTTTTTTTATTATCCTTATATTATTACTGCAAACACGCACACACGAGCAACAGCCATAATTCGTCGAGCTTTGAATATTTTGGAGGTAATGGTGAGGTAGGTAAGAAATAAGCAGTAATGGGAAAGTCGAGAGTCGGATCAACTATTTAAATCAATGTTCCGATCTGATAAAAGCACTATAGCTTTAAATGACTAAAATCATGGAATATAAATTTGGGAATTAGAATTTACAATATATCGTACTTAACGGTAGGCAGCAGCTTGGCTCTGGCATTACTGAAGTTCATGGGCGATGGTAACCACTCACCATCTGGTGGGCCTAATGCTCCTATGTCTACAGGGGTAATAAAAAAAAATTGTGATGGATCTATGTTGCATAATCGCGTTTATTCATAACAGTCTTTTTTTTTATAAACGTGTACTTCAAACTTCATGATTTTTATCTTCCAATAGAATATAATGAAACAAATCGTACACCGCATCAAAAATAAAAATAAGAAACAGTAAATTGAAAGCGGATTCGGTACTAACAATAACTGACAGGAACATTATTATGAGCTTATAGAAAAAACTGTTATTCAAACAAGATCGTAACACTAATAGTGATAACGTTATAAAACTAAGTTTTTGACGACTACGTTATAGTTATTAGGCAATCAATTTTGCTGTTCAGCGAAAGGAAATATTTTATAAAATTTGACTTAGAGACTTTGAATAGCAATTACGATTTCATGCTTTATAATGGCGATTTTTTTATGTAACGCCTTCATCGATGCTGCGTGGATGCTTATTTTGAAAATCTATGAATCCTTTTTTAATTCAGATTTATAAAAAAAATATTTATGTGTTCATGATTTATTTAATTAGTTAGTATTTTGAAGTATTTGTTTTTGCTGTTCAGCGAAAGGAAATATTTTATCTTTATATATAAAAATGACTTGCTGTTCGACGGCTGGACCGATTTGGCTAATTTTGGTCTTGAATTATTTGTGGAAGTCCAGAGAAAGTTTAAAAGGTTGATAAATATGAAAATGCTCGGAATTAAATAAAATTAACAATTTTGTTTTTCCTTTGATGTGTCCCCCGTCGGACGGATTCCTTTTGTTTGTTTTTATTTTATACAAAAGTTTAGGTCTTTTATTTATCGAGGCATTACGAAGTCTGCCGGGTCAGCTAGTATTTTATAAAATTTGACTTGGAGACTTTGAATAGCAATTACGATTTCATGTTTTATAATGGCGATTTTTTTATGTAACACCTTCGTCGATGTCTGCGTGGATGCTTATTTTGAAAGTCTATGAATCATTTTTTTATTTAGATTCATACAATAAATATTTATTTGTTCACGATTTATTTAATTAGTTAGCATTTTGAAGTAGATATTTGTTTTGTTTACAAACGTTATCAATGATTACTTAGAATCGAATCATGTTTTGATGCACTATCTGTAAAATCCTAACAGGTTAGGATCTTGAAAATGTTCTAATAAAAAAAATACATTTGTAAATTTGTTTAAAGGGAACGGTAAGCAGAAGATTTTTTACTGAACCCGAGTCGTTGCTTGGCAGGACGGTGCGAATGTGGTTAATTTTATTTTGGCAATTTTATATTCTAGTTTGATTATAAAATGGATTTTCGCGTGACCTTAACGGCACTATGTATTATTCGTGGATTGGTTCTCAGCTCTCACGAGAAAAGTCTTTGGGAAAATTCTTATTGTACCTATCATCGACTGTTTACGAAGTCATAATGAAGTAAACAGTTTTAATTGTTCGTTATCAACTACGCGTACTTTGTCTTTAGTGACCTTAAAATTAAATCGGTTTAAGGAAATTTTTAGCACTAGCTCCGAGGAAAATTCAGTGAACCTAAAACTGCCACTATTGATTTTAACTTCATAATGTACAACGTGCTAATTACCACATTACAGTATACGAGTCGTCTATTATCAAAGGTGGCAATCTGTACATTTGGACAAAAATTTTTTATTGATATGTCAATACAGATTTATTTGAATATAATCGTCTCCTTCAAAGAATACGGTTCAAAACCTGCATTAAATAAAGGTTAATAGTTAACCTGTTATTTATCTAAGATGTCGTTCCGAAGAGTTTTGTGACTGCCAATGGAATACNTTTATTTGAATATAATCGTCTCCTTCAAAGAATACGGTTCAAAACCTGCATTAAATAAAGGTTAATAGTTAACCTGTTATTTATCTAAGATGTCGTTCCGAAGAGTTTTGTGACTGCCAATGGAATACAAAGTCAATAATTCGTTTTTCTGATTTACCAATCATTGTCCAAAAGTCAGATTGCCGCCTTTGATAATAGTCGACTCATACAAAGGTGTGTATGTATTTAAACAGAATAACATTTTATCTATTAGTAGGTGTTTTAACGAGAATCTTCCTGTGAAAAGTTCTCAATTTTTATTTCATTTGATTAGTCTGTTTACAGTCGTAGACCCGCTCTGATCCGCCCATCTTCGAGTACGGCAGAGTGACGTAATTTGGCCTATTGCGCGCCTGTATAATAATTACCTACTGCCTTGGAACCACGCGATAAAACATTAGCTGACCAAGTTTGTCTTTACTCACTGTATGCTGAATGTGAATAATGTCGGTTTTAATGTTACTGTCTCTAGTAAATCGTGATACCTACGCAAATTAAGCGTAATAGCATTAGCGTATTTATTTGTTAGTTTAAGTTACGATTCGGTTTTATAGTTGTATATATACATTTTTCGTTTAACTAATTATTAATTATTTTGTATTATAATAAATTTGAGATTAATTTTTGTTTGAATAAAAGGTGCGAAAAAATGAATACGCCTTGAAATTAAGCTGCGTGTGTATTTTTTTTATAATAGGTAGCGTATGTACCTATAATCAATTAAGGTGTGTAATATGTATCAATCTGTAAACAAACTAAATTTTGGTTTGCACTTTGTAGCTAGTTAAATAAATATACATTACAAGTGTTGAAAGGACAATTAATTGAAAACATGATTCTAGTACTACATATCGGCAATTTCGTAAAGAACATAGCTTAGATATTTATATATTAATAATTTCAAGTATAGGCATTAATTTGTTGTCGCGGATCCTGTCCTATTAAAATTTAATAGTTCATAGTATGTAACGGTAGGATTATTTTCATTCGATTATTTGTTACAATCAATTAGCAAAATAGTTTTATTTTTACAAGATAGATACAGCTTATTTTGCGTATGGGTTCTGTTTACCGGATAGTATAATGCAATTTCATAGAAAGGGGCTCTAGAATAATAATTTACTCGATCTTAAATAGTTGAACAAGTCTATCAACAAAAAATACTACTCCACGATTCTTCTCTACGATTGAAACCTGTTATTTTTTAATTTGATTTCAAATCATGGCGCCCATATATACGTCAAAAGCAGATGGGTTTAAGTTATATTATTATTTTATTTTAATCTTACCTTCAAATACCTCCATGTCGGTTTCGTCGAAGGATTACAAAGTTTTTTATTTAATGGTTTCTATGACGACGCATGACAGCCGAAATATCATAGTATGGTTGATTCAAAGATTAAACACTACTCTGCAAGGTTGATTTTTGATTGGATGTCCAGTTGACACGGAGCACAGTCAAACCCAAGGTCAGTATTGTTCCGTTCCTCATAGCTCATTTTACTTTTGAAAAACTCAAACAATACTCGACTGTAAATCTATTACAAGCTAATAATATATATAGTTATTTCTTAAATATATACTTTCGGTAGTTTTTACACATCAGCATTATAATATTCCAATGCCTTGAAAATTTGTTAAATTTGCACAAGCAATCCTAAAATTGTAGTTAGTTACGTCAAATGCAAACATCTGTTACATTTCACAATGTTCTCGATTACGAGAGTACCTATGTAAAATTCGTTTAGGTATGTGGCGCTCTGTGGCGAGATCACACTCTTAAATATTATGTGTTTTATCTATGAGTATACTGACGTAAGAGTATTCCACGAATAGAGTTGGTGCACGTGTAAGTATCACACACTAGGAAACACTGTTAAAACAGAGTCGGTCGGTAGGTACTAATTGAACCGAGTACCGTAAAATGGGGTAAATAGGGACAAAATCGAACTTCAGATTGAATTTTAACATAGTTCCAATTAAATAGTCACTGCTCAACCAAAGAAATAAGTTGAGTCTTGAACGTACCTAGGTGATAAAAACCGTTACATAATTTTAATTATTAATTTTAAAGAAATAATCGGTAAAATAATGGCCGTCCCAATTTACCCAGCGNCTATTTTCAATTTAATTTGACGAATTTTTGGGACCAACTTAACTCATATTTAGTACTTCCATAGTTAACTTGGTTTTTCTTCTATACATTGATAAATATTAACATAAACAAAATTAGGTAGATTCCGTGCTACAGGTACTTTGAGAATCTTCCGCAGGTTTGTCCCAATTTACCCCAGGATCCCAATTTACCCCGTGTCATGGTAACAGACTAATTTTGATGTCACCAAATGGAATGCTCGATTCGTTTTCATTGATATTTTAACAGGTCTTCTTCAATATCATGCAAAGGAAAATCATAGACCTTTAAGGTACACCGTTTTACTATAAATAAACGGCTAATACACATTGCTTAACCGATTGCGTTGAAACTTTATACAGTTGTTGTTAACAAAAAAAGCCATCAATTTCATAAGTGTCGAACCAAAGAAATGTGAATTATTTCGTCAAGAGAGCGTCATTTATGTTTCGAAGCACTAAACATGAGCGTCGCCATCCATCCTTGGTAAGCTCTTTATATCAGGCGGATTATGGGCACGTTTACCTATCTATGGATTAATAATAAAATTAAAAAGTATGTAATTAAGGGGATATTTTTATTGCTTGATCTTAATTCTATTGAGTTTGTACTGTGTATTATGTAGATTAAAAACTAAAATATCACACTGTTTATTTTTATTAGCAAGGATAGTCTATGATAGTGCGTGTCAGACAGTCTGTCAGAACTGGTCAGAACAAAAAGGAGATTAAAAACTTTATCATTTTGTCGTTTGTTTAGTTAACTTCACAAGAAAACTCGTAATCTTTCTTTCAAATTACTGTAAATAATATAAACGTTATAAATAATCATGGGTCTAACAATATCAAGTGTATTTACTAGATTGTTCGGCAAAAAACAAATGCGTATTCTTATGGGTTAGTAACGTGACAGCTCATCTTGTTGACTGCATACTTATTTCTTTTGTTATCTTTAAATAATGTCGTGGTGTAAGATTAAATCGTGAATAATTTGTCTTTATTTTCAGTTGGTTTAGATGCTGCCGGAAAAACTACCATACTTTACAAATTAAAACTCGGTGAAATCGTGACTACGATACCGACAATCGGTTTCAATGTGGAAACAGTTGAGTACAAAAATATTAGTTTCACCGTGTGGGACGTTGGCGGCCAAGACAAAATCAGGCCTCTTTGGCGTCATTATTACCAGAACACTCAAGGCTTGATATTTGTTGTAGATTCTAGTGACAGAAAAAGAATAGCAGAAGCCGAAAATGAGTTGGCTAATATGGTAAGTTCTATTTAAACATGAACAGAAACATGTCCTCTTCATCAATACCGAAAAATTCTTCAAAATCGACAATTTGTTTATACTAACAATGTTTCAGTTAAAAGAAGACGAGCTTAGAGATGCAGTTATTTTAGTTTTTGCTAATAAACAAGACATGCCAAACGCGATGACTGCTGCAGAACTTACGAATGCCCTAAATCTTGGTAATCTGAGAAATCGACGGGTAAGCAATTCATATTTCTACATCATTAATTTGGCACTAGCATAACCATTTGTAGTAAATTTGCTGTCTTACAGTTATACATCTGATTCTAAATACTATTAATAAATTTATAAATGGTAAAGCACCTTGCGGTTGTGAAATATCACTTAACCACATATCTACATTGTACAAAAATGCTTGTTACAGTACAATAATAATCTACAGCTATGTATAGTATGACCACCTGGTTAAACAAACTTAAATGCTACTAAAATTAGATCACACTGTTGTAGGAATATTATGTGAGTGTGTGAGTCCTCTAATAATTTAAAATGAAATAAATGAAAATTGTATATAGTTTAATGCTAGTTTTTCCAACAGTGGTACATCCAAGCAACATGCGCTACACAAGGGCAGGGGCTTTATGAAGGTCTTGATTGGCTGTCCAATGAGCTAGCGAAGAAATGAAGCTAAGTTCAAGATCAATGCCAGGGAAACAAGGAAAAATACATTCCCGATTTACTTCAACTATAATGTTGTTCATGCTATTCAAACTAAAAGACTTAAGCAAATTATATATCATTTTATATATGTATGTCTTGTTTCATGTTTTTATTTGTAGAATTTTTGAATTGGAGGAATCCATTTATTTATTTTCTGTAATTAAAATGTAATATCTGCACATTTATGTTTGTGATAATATGCCCCAATATTTTTAGATCTACTAAAGTCGATAATATTGTGTTAATTTACCATGAAAATGTGTGTCTCTGTCTTTGATAAATTAACAAGAATGAACATAAATCAAAACATCTTTTAACTACATGTTTAGTCTAATATAACTAATGTTCAATGTTAAGAGAAGCTGTCTATATAGTGTGGTGGTTGATAATATTAACTTTACTATCAATGCAATTCCATACTCATAAATGGTTCAAGCGTAAATGTTTAATTTTTGCTGTGAGCAATGCCATTTCCATAATAATATGAATAATATCTGAGATAAATCAATGTATTATTATTTGTTACAGCAAAGTGTAATTGAGAAGCAACTTTTTTTGTAATTTATAGCTATTTGTACTGCTGCTGTCAAATTCCTCAAATAGGAATTAGTTTTGTTGTTCATGTATATTATGTACAAATTTAACTTTTTTCAGGAAAACATATTTAATGGTTCAATAGACTGACACTAAGAAGTCTCTTTACTTTTGAATATGATGGATATAATAGTCTTATAAATGATTGGGCTGATTTGTCATTTCAAATAATTTGAACTTTAGTGTGAAACGAAAACGCATATTATACTGAGTTACATAATATAGTGGCAAATAAAATTTAGGTGTAAATAAAATGATATTTCATTAAATATATTTATTAGAAGATATCACTAAGTGTCTAAACTGCTGTTCTTTTGATCTTATCTTGTAATCTTATCTATGACTCCATTTTGCTTTTCGTTTTTCCACAAAACTCATTATACCTTCTTGTCCATCTTTACTTGCAACATTATCAACCATTACTTTCTCACCTAAATCATAAGCATTGAACAAGCTCAGTTCAATTTGTTGATAGAAAAATTCTTTACCCATAGATATGACACTGCGGCTTTTGTGTTTTATCTTTTCAATTATTTTTTCTACTTCATTATCTAGTTCATTTGCTGGAACTACTTTTGTGACAAGGCCACTTTCATATGCTTCCTGTGCATTTATTGGTTCACCTTAAATGAATATTAATGTAAAAAAAAAAATAGTGCTTAATAAAAACTTTCGCATAATAATTACTAACCCGTGAAAAGCATATAAGTTGCTTTAGATTTACAAACAGATCTTCCAAGAGCAATTCCAGGTGTGGAACAGAATATACCAAAGTTTGCACTGCAATTGTAATCATAATTTGAATATATTTGTTCTATTTAAAATACTGATTTATTTATAAATTTCTTTACCCAGGAGTGGAAAACTTGCTTGAGTCAGAACATACGATTATATCACAGGTGGCTACTAGCTGACAACCAGCCGCTGTGGCAAATCCATTTACCTATAAATTATATAAATAAATTTACATAACAATAATATAAACATTGACAATATATTTAATTCATCTCCAAAGCAATATATTCATATATTTGAAACATTATTGGAACAACAAAACTATCTCTTGTCACAAAATTAATTAATCTATGAAATCATTTAATAGAATAAAACTGCATCATAAAGGATCCTTTTTATCTTTATAAAAATTATTTAGAGAATATGGCTCATGATTCTATAAGGTATGCCAATTAGAACTGTTATGAAATAAGATGTGCTTCATGAAACTTTTTATTTAAGCTAGAAAGAAAAAAGAAAAACACTTTACCACTATCACTGCTGTTTGTCAACACTTTTATTTGGTATCTATTCATAGGCCTTAATGGCCTTAACCAATTATCTTTCTTAGAAGTTCTCATTTTTATTAACGTCAACAACAAACAAAAGATATACTATGCATATTATCAAATCAATGCCTCCAATGAACACTATGCTAACTCCAAATTTGTAAGTTTACAGGAGGAGCCGTAAAAAAAGTTGATAAAATATTTATTATTGCAGATATATTTATGGTTTTTTCTTGTGTAACTAGTTGATTTACTCTTGCTTCGAACCCCATCAATAATGATTTGTAATACTTTTAAAATAGTAAAGCGATTTGCGTGAAAAACGAAAATTTCAAAATTTTGAGTTAAAGTAGTGTTCATTGGAGGCATCGAAATGAAAGTATCAGTATAAATTTTAATTGCACAAACAATAGTTATAGTAAAACATCAAAGTACCTGAAAAAAATACATACCTTAGCTATAACAGGTACAGGACTTAAAATAATAGATTTCATCAACTCTGTGGCTTTACTAAATATCTCTTTGTGTTGGTCAACTCCAGAACTAGATTGCTAAAATAGATTTAATGTGAGAATTTAGCTGCAGTGTGTAGTGTTTTGAATTGGTCCTTGGGACAACCAAGTTTGTTTTAAGAGACAAAAAAACTAAGAATCTAAAATGGTTCTTAGAAAAACATAAAATTATGCATTGAATATTTTCACGTATTTTACTCAGGACAATACTTAATTATTTTTAATTAGATTTAACAATATCTCACTTACTAATTCTTTTAAATTATGGCCTGCAGAGAAAACATTACCCTTTGCAGATATAATTATTGCTCTTAATGATATGTCCTCTTTGTTTTTATTGATAGCTTCTATCAAATGGTTCATCATGTTCAGTGATAGTGAATTCCTGAATAATAAACAGGAATTTGTCTAATAAAAGTACATTGTTGACACTTCAATAAAAGTAAGTCAGACAAATTAACATAAAAAGTTGTAGGTATTGTTAATGAAGTACATTATGTGTAAATTATTAAATGTGTTATTAAAAACACAAATGCTATAGCTAAAAAGGACTTAGCAATATGTAAGATCAGTAATTTTTTTTCAGATGCACGCCTAAATTAAAATCTCTTGAATTAATAAAGTGATTAACTTTCTTGCTTTCATTATTTAGCCATAAATTTCCAAAAGTATTATTATTAATCCCCATTAAGTAGCATATAGTATGTACTTGGTCTTTTCATGATTCAGTGTGATTTCTCTTGTTCCATTATTTTCTCTAGTAGTTATATATTCATTGTGAACAAAACGGCGTAGTACCGACAATGACCTTGATCCGGTCTTCTGCAAAGAAAAGTATTGATAAAATATAAAAAGAGAAAAGGTATACTTATGGTTTCTAATCGTGAAAAACTTGCCTGAACAAAACTGAACATGATGTAGAATATGTGGATCGATTAAGTAAGGTAGAAGTAGAGTTTATTAGAAGTAGGCAAGTACCTAGCTACTAAATAATTTGAATACCTACAATATATAATATAATAATAGTATATTAAATACACTTTTACTTATTTAATTGTACATAACAAGATTTTTTTAAAGGAATTTTAATTTTATGACCTGGTAACTAAGACTTTTAGGTCAAGTCATTTTAATTTTTATATTCTTATTTTTCTATCAAGATTTCGCTATACAACAAACACAGATTAATATAGTAATTACTACGTCTTCCAACTTAAACGTATATATTACTAAGTTCATTATGTTAACTTGAGCTATTAACCATTTAGCATTAATATTATATTCCTGCCTATGCTGATAGCCTTGAGAGGCTATTTCAGCTTCACCTTAGCGTGTAGGTGAAGTGCTCAAACCGGAAGTGTTGCTAACACTGGCCCCAGCAAGAGCAGTCAGTGCTTCGCAGAATTTACCCCTGGATGGGAAACACGACCCACGAAGATCCGGCCAGAAACTCAGTTGGCTGGCTGTGTCTATGTTAGCATTTGCCGAAGTGCTTATGTGTGGTAAAACAATATCATTTCTAGAAAAATCCCAATTAAGTCTTAATAAATTTTCGACATGTTACTGAGTAGTACAATCGATTACGAATTCAAATAAATCAACTTCACCTCTTTCCGATTCATTTAAAGAATATAAATGTATATTAGTAGACTATTTGAATATGGTTATAAACTCGATACTTATAAAAATTGCATCGGCAGAAACCGATTGCCATATTGAAATGAAGAATAAAAACGGGCAGAACAGCAGGAAGCCCTATCCTATGTATCTTAATTTTCATAAGACATACAGCAGGCGGCTCATTTGATCGTATGGGTTCATTGCCACTCGGGGGATAATGGCATGGGGCAAAGCTAGGCCAAGTAACTTTTGGAAAATATAGTATTTTCTGCGGTTTTCGAAAGTGGAAACATAAATGTACGTTTAATCTTGCCTTGTTTAATGTCATTTTAAATTAACATACTACTTCCCGCCCGAATAAATCCGAGAACTATATATTTTGAAAAATTGTAATATTCCAAAAAAGGTATTGTAGTATCTAAATATGTAGTCCTCTAATTTGAGATCAAACTTTACTAATACACGTTAAACTGACGATACGTCTTTTCTTATCAGAAAATTATTTTAAGCACTTTAAAGATATTTTTCTGTTTAAATTAATAAGGCAGGTAGGTACCTACTTTTTCTCTCTACCCATTCGCTAGTAGCTGAAGAGGCTATTCCAGCTACGCCCGGACGGGTAAGTGAGCTCAAAGACTCAATCTGAAAAAGTTTGCTAACACTAACCCTAGCAAAAGCAGTGCTTCACAGATTCTACCACCAGATTAGAATCGTTATCCACTGAGAGTATCGGCGAGAAACTCAGCGGGTTGTGTCTATGGGTTATATAGCTTGTTAAACTGTGTGCTTAGTGCGAGTTTTTAACTTTCTCAATAGCGTAAAAGTTAACCCAATTTTGTATGCAGTTGGAACAGCGCCCCTAGCGGCAAACGTACGTAAACGATCCCATTCCATACAAATATGAGCTAACTTTTACGCTATCGAGAACGTTAAAAAACTCGCACTAAGCACACTGTTCGTCGTAATTGAAGAGTTTAACGAGGAAGGACGATAACTGATACTCGAGGAGCTAAAAGTGATGACCAATAGTGGATCCGACGAGACATGTTTCGGACGACGGCGGCTTTGCGTCACCTCATTGCTGGGGTCGGACAAGTAATTAGCGACGAGCACGGTAAGAGGGTTATCGTTTCGCGCCGCTTTGTCGAAGTAGTGTTTCGACGCTACTTTAAGATACTTACGTATCGGTTTTAAATTTAGATCATCGTGAAGGTCGACATTTCTAAAGCGCTACGGCGCAACGGGGGCTTTCCTGTAAAACCGTATTGAAAGGACTGAAGAGCCTCTATGTAGGTGCAGGTACTGGTATAGGTCATATGAAAGTTTTAAGACACCTGTCATCTGATTTCGAAGGAACATTTTACTTTTTACCGATGTGTGGGCGAAATGTCATGTAGGCATCCGGGAGGAGCTAGATATTCCCGGCCCAGGGTATTTATTGGCTGAAGAAGGCGATCGGGAACGGGTCGCGTTTTTCCCTTTTTGTAATAAACTCCAAAATGTAAGAATTTCTCCCTTAAGATTCATTTATTTTGCGGAACAGAAAAACAAATAGCAAGATGAACGAAAACCGTTTTTACATTATATAGTACGAGATCCGACTGCAGGATTAGTGCGCTCATTGGTTATTTGCTAAAAACCAAATTTTTATGTATATTTATAATTAGGAGAAATCTACCAAGTTGCCTATCAAAATTTGGCCGCTAGTATTTTTAATTAAATTATTTTTAATTGCTTTTTGGGAAAAAAATTCGTTCACTTGTTTTTTAAATAAAATATCGTCTACATCACGGCAATTTACATAATGATTTTAAAAAATCACGGTTGCCATTGCGCACCTGCCGCACCTCTTCGCAGCCAGGTGTAAACAGGTATGATTTCGATACTTTTTTACGTTCATAACGTATATTTATTAATTATATATCAAATTGAAGCTAATTTTTTTCTATTAAATTTCATATATGGTTGCCTAATTAAATCTGGCCGCAAATAAGGGTTGCTGGCTGTTAAAGATGATAAATATTTAAGGTAGAGTGAAAGAGAGTTAACGCGTAACATCATTTGTCAGACGAGGATAGCGATTGCTGGCCGTGCGACGGTTTTGCGTTGAATGTTAGTGTTCTCAACCACCGGGAAGTAACAGAGAGTTAATAAATACTCATTGCTTTTTTCGTTACACAAAAAACACGACTTCATCTTTATCAATTTTATTTTACGTTAATTAATTTAATAATTTTTAGATGCACAAATAAAACAACAATGTAAATATAAAACGTTTATTACGAACTCCAAAACAGCGTGGTTTTTATGTTAGAATAAAAATGCCGCATCTGTTCAGTTGAGGACACTAACATTCGACGCATGCGCAATGGCTTAAAACCGTCGCACAGCCGGCAATCGCTATCCTCGTCTGACAAATGATGTTACGCGTTAACTCTCTTTCACTCTACCTNAAAAAGTGTGTGTGTCCGCTCCGACGCACGACTGGAGTTTACTGGATATAAAAAATTAAACGAAACAATACGAGAAATAGTTCTATATTACGACAACACGATACACTACAGATTATTAACAAATTAACGAGACACAAAACAAACGACTAACAAATATATGAAAATACAATAATGAGAGAAACGCGCGATCAGTACGAGGCTTTGTGGCGGACTGCCGGCGCATGTACTAGCATGTCACACGAAATGCGCATAACGCATTTCGTGTGACATGCTAGTACGATTTTGGTCCCCATAATTTTCATACCCCGGGCCTATATATGTAAATCGATTCTAAAGGAGTAAACTCCAAAAAATTAGCTTCAATTTGATATATAATTAATAAATATACGTTATGAACGTAAAAAAGTATCGAAATCATACCTGTTTACACCTGGCTGCGAAGAGGTGCGGGCAGGTGCGCAATGGCAACCGTGATTTTTTAAAATCATTATGTAAATTGCCGTGATGTAGACGATATTTTATTTAAAAAACAAGTGAACGAAATTTTTTCCCAAAAAGCAATTAAAAATAATTTAATTAAAAATACTAGCGGCCAAATTTTGATAGGCAACTTGGTAGATATATATTCTCCTAATTATAAATATACATAAAAATTTGGTTTTTAGCAAATAACCGATGAGCGAACTAATCCCGCAGTCGAATCTTAGACTAATATTTTTCTTAAAATCACATCTATTTAATGGTATCCAATTCGGCGAGGAACAAATAATATAACCAAGACACTTGCAATTTAGACTTGTAAAATAAAAACTGAATTCGTGATAATGGAAAACCATATTAATGTACTTTATTCTTTGCCGACAACTAGGATTATTAATAAACATTGCACCTTCTATTACTATTACTAACAAAATGTAATATTATGTCCCTATAGCTTCGATCAACAATAGTAACTAGATTTCGGGTCGGCGCAAAAATCCGTCTCGTTAAATAACAGCGCACTTGAAATGTGAGCTCTTATTTTGTTTAGTTCACTTCAGACACAGCCAATGTCAACCCGTCTCACAATGCCGCAGTATGTATTCAAAAGTTGTAAAAAATGCCCGAAAAATCAATTTAACGGCCGGAGTATCTTACTTTCGGTAAGTACATGAAGTATACGTTATATTTTAAGCTTTAAACTAATAAATAATATTAAATTTTAAAGAAAATTACCGATTTTTAACCACCGCTACAAATGTTGGCCAAGGCTCGCCAACACTTGGACAAAATTTTTGTTTAACAGAAAAGTAAATGCATGGAGTAGATTTGTGTTGTAATAATTTTTAAAAATTTGTTAGCAGTACTTCAAAATTGGTTAGTTAAAATTGGTTAATTCTGCTTTTGTGTCTGTTTGTTGGATTCTCATTGGATACTTAGCTTTCCTTTTTTATTTTAGCTTTCCTAGCAATCACGTGTGCAGAATGGATCTCGGTTGTCGCCAGAGAAAGAAGAGATTACTTTTATAAGCCAGCTAAGAACTCCACTCATTGACACTGGACATCTTTGCCTTCCGTGTTCACGGCTACTGAAACGTGGCCGAAGCATTGTAATAAAAATATCGCGCCTAAAACCGTTTAAACGTTGTTTTATTATATGTACTAGTCGCGAAAACATAAAAATAAACTATAAAAATATCTATTACACAAAACGTAACTCTAATAAAATAATAAGTAATGTATAGATACTAACAAACATAAATCCTCAAAACATAAAAAGTAAACAACTAAACTTTTACTTTTATTCATATAATAAATTATTTTAGTGTTCAACGCGACTCCGTTACCTCCTGTAGTAAATAGAAATTGAAATTTCAAGAAGCAAAAATAAATAAAACAAAACGATGTTAGTTCTCAAAGCTATAACGGGAAAAATTACTTTATTTGTTGGCGCATAAGGTTCATTTAACATTAAAGGTTGTTTAACATATGCCTTTTCATTTGTAAGTGACAGGAGTAATTTATTGCTTTGTGACGAATGATCGTAAGTATTAAATAATGTTTTGGAGATTTGGAACTTTATTACTAGGTGGCATAGTTGTAATTAGTTTGAACTTAAAACTGTTTCAAAACTTTTTTCTCCGTTTGTTGTAAACCAACGTAGCTATGTATGTGTATATTCACGCGGACAGTTTTTGCTTCGATTTTGTACGTGTCCCTTTATCTAGTTACTATTGTTGATCGAAGCCCTATAGGCAATCTACAAAAAAAAAAACGAAAGAAATAATAAAACAAATCACACGAGCCTTGCTATTATATTACCTTACTTTAATCTACATTAGAAGTAATATTAACTTGATACCGAAATTATACGATATTACGATACTCATATTATATGAAAGTGTCTGTTACGTTTTTATGCCAAACTCATCGAACCGAGCGCTATGACGCGCCCTTCTTCAAACGAGGCTTGCAAAGAGATAGATCTCCGCGGTAGATATCCCTTGGCTGAGCTCCTGGCATTACTGATGTTCACGAGCGACGGTAACCACTCACCACCAGATACTGGTGGTAGGACCTCTTGTGAGTCCGCACGGGTAGGTACCACCGCCCTGCCTATTTCTGCCGTGAAGCAGTAATGCGTTTCGGTTTGAAGGGTGGGGCAGCCGCTGTAACTACACCGAGACCTTAGAACTTATATCTCAAGGTGGGTGGCGCATTTACGTTGTAGATGTCTATGGGTTCCATGAACCACTTAACACCAGGTGGGCTGTGAGCTCGTTCACTCATCTAAGCAATAAAAAAAAAGATAAGCCGTATGTTCGTCTGCCTTTCTTCTATATCGTTCCCTCACTGCTGAGGTTCGCAACCACATGTGACGTTCCTCCAGTGTTCGATCATGGATGGCATAGCAAGGTACTGACTGTCACCAAGTGCTTCCTTTACCTACATACGTCATAAAAATCGATTTTAACGAAAATCGACGTGGAAATCGTTTTTAAACTACTTTTCATGTTAATGATGAGCTCGCATTTTCGCTCACGCCCATATGTAGTGTAGTCCACGTGAGGGAAGCAACAGACGTTAGGCTGGTGTACAATGACCGAGAGAGCTTAACGGTACCACCTCCTGCTCGTTTCGTATTCTGAATGATCAGATTCGGAATTGTCGTCGTCGCTGTTCAAATATTCAGCGCCCTCGTCCTCTGCTGTAATAAGCTTTATCACTGCACTGAAAACAATGAAAACGTTTGATTAAAATACTCAATAATTCGTATTATTTGTAGGTATTGTAGATATCGTTTATTTGTGTCTTACAGTAACTTAGAAACCTTATACATACATATAAACATTTAATTTTCATTTTAAAAATATCTAATTTCTTTTGACCTTGTAACAATTTCAATTAAATTGGTTTTTGGATATTAGTGTCAACTAAACTAATTTTTACTGGTGGTAGGAACTCTTGTGAGTCCGCACGGGTCGGTACCACCACCCTGCCTATTTCTGCTGTAAAGCAGCAATGCGTTTCGGTTTGAAGGGCGGGGCAGCCGTTGTAACTATAATGGGACCTCAACTTATATCTCAAGATGAGTGGCGCATTTACGTTGTAGATGTCTATGGGCCATCTAAGCAATAAGCAAAATTATCGATATAGTCAATATATAGACACGAATCTATTACACGAAGTACCCGATTTACAAGAATTAGAATCGGTGTAAGGACTTACTTCAGAACCTGTTCTTCAAAGGCATTATTTTTTACGGAGTGTTCAGAAGACGCCATGATCTTGTCGGCTAGAACGTGGTCTAATAACGACCGCAATTCAAACAGCAATTGTGTAGTTTCCTTCTTGCAACAAACAGATATCTTTTCTATCGATATGATACAGTCATCTGGGTCTTCAGCTGCTGATAAAATTAGAAGATTTTTTTATGATATTTATTTTTTCTTTACATATGTGGAAAGACCAATTCACAGTCTGCCTGCTTAAAGAGCATGCCCTTAGATAGGGCGACGTTAATGCCACTTAACTGCATTCGAAGTCGTCGTTGCCTAAAGAATAAGCCTAAGAATAAGCCTAAGAATAAGCCTATAGAATAAGCTTAAGCGATGAAACTATGTCAGTGAATGTGTGTGAATTGTTAGTGTCTGTGAAAGTGCACAAATATGGAAAAATGAAACAGCCGCTGAACGTTACTTCTTGGGATCCTCCAAAAAGTCCACTGAAAAAGTCTCAGTAAATGACCACCATTTTTGTGAGATTATATTTCATCTCATCTCATTTCATTCAATAATATCATTTTTCATATAAAAAAACTTTACATTAAAATTAAAATTAAACTTGACCTAAAGGTCTTAGTTACCAACCACAACTCTATTTAAAAAAAAATGAATTGTGGTCTTGTGGATATTTCTTTTTTTTTACGCTGGGTAATCCATTTGCGTCTTATTATTTATTATTATTATTATCATTTAATCCGAGTTGTGGTTTACCTGGAGATACGTGAAGTTCACCGAAAAACAACAGAGGCAGAGTATAGACCAGAGTGACGTCAAACAAGAACAAATCGGTCGAGCGCCGCTTCAACCAGTACACCAGCCAGTTAGCGCCCGGGCTCGAACACATCGGCTGAGCGTTGAGGCCGCCGTTGTGTTTGTTCGCCATGACGCTGCTGGGGTGCAGCGCGATCGAGCCGTCTTCCGGAGTCCAAACCTTGATGCGGGGAGTCTTACGTGGATTTCGGTTATGAAGATTCGTCCATCTGAAATTGATATTTGATTAAGAAATTATGTATGTAACTGATGCAGTTTTTTTTTTATTAGATTTACACAAATCTTAATTATTAGGAATTAACTTGTATTTTTATTATTACTAGAGGTCCCCCGGTAGTCGAAATTCGACTATAATTAATTGAAATTATAAGTTTGTACACTATTGTGATTCTATTTTCAAAGACTTCTATAATCATAGAATTCGCGAAAAATACAGTTTAGACAAATGTTAATAAAGACAAACAATATTTAATTTATTCTTCTATTCTCAATCTGACCACAGACTTTAAGCAATAAGAAAATTTTGAGATTAAACAAATAGCATGCATGCGTGTGTGTGTCAAATACATTGTCATACATCATACAAAAATAACTATTATCATTCTGCACTCCTTCTCTATATTCTCTATAAGTGTGAGAAATTTCATACTCATCCGTCGGCGCAATTTTCGAAAAAAGGGGTACAAATTTTTGCTTCACGTATTAAAATATAGATTATTAAAATAATTACCCATTTCGACTAGTTCTCTTAACAAAAATGACTTCGAGCAATGAAACACTATTTGGTTATTTAATATACGACATTCATCTTTATAATTTAAGGTCCGTTTTATTTGGCATTAGCATCAACAATTCGATGTTTTTTACTAAACTTCAATTATGTTTACCGCATTCAAATAGCTGAAGAAGTTTTTTTATCAAGATCATTTTTCCAAATTTTAAAATTTAAATGTCTCTCTCTGCAAAAATGTCGCTTAAACTAAATAGTCTTTCACCTGTTTGTAAAGTAGAGCAGCTGATAATATAGGGCGATTGAATCATCGACCTAATGTCTCAAAACCATCCTAATATTTTGTCGTTTCTTGGGTCCAGAAACCACTTGACACAGGGTGGGATCGTGAGCAAGTCTGGCTATCTACAGCATATTTTTTTACCAGAATGCATGATTACTTCGCGACCGAAATAGCCACTTAAAACAACAAAAAATGTTTCACCAGTAGTTAATTGTACTTCGTAACTTACCTCACAGAACCAATATTGGGGTATAGCGCTGCAGCGACTATAGCTTTAAAAAGGCTTAGATTATTAGCATTTCTATTTTCCCAAGCCGATTTGATGTTGCCAGTATTCAAAAAGCCCATCTGCCTCAAATTGTCGGCCAACTGATGCTTCATTTCAGAGAGTAATTTCAGAGTATTCATAGAAAGGAAGTTTTTGTATGCGAAATTATTACGATGTTGCCTGGGGCATTGTTCCCATTGTATAATCGCCTCGGATATCGCAACGTGGTCACTTGGCTCACCTAGGGCTAATTCCTTTTTGGCTAGGTCCATTTGTTTTTCTTTTCCTGTGAACAAAAATATATTTGGTTAAATCCTTCGATAATGGTCTAAGCAATTATTAATTGGAAATTAGTGTGATCCGTATGTCCTCAAGTAACAATTACTTCTTTAACCCGACTTACCAATAACTAACTGAAAAGGGTCTTTGAAGCCCCAAACGGCGGCAACGCTGGCGGCTCGGTCCAAACAACCGAACAGCGCTCCCAACAGCAATAATTTACCAGCCGCAGGGTGAACTGGTAGTCGTGCCAAATGCCAACCAAGAGGTGTTAAGATTTCTGATTCATTGAGGGCTCCACATCTAAAAATTACGAGTAAATTTTTAGGGGGATCTATTTTTTATCTATAACTAGCCGACCCGGCAGATTTAGTAGTGCCTCAATCGATAAATAAAAGACCTAATCTTTTGTATAAAATAAAATTAAAACAAACAAAAGGAATCTGTCCGACGGGGGACGACACATCAAAGGGAAAACCAAAATTGTTATTTTTATTTAATTCTGAGCATTTTCATATTTATCTGCCTTTTAAACCTTCTCTGGACTTCCCCAAATAATTCAAGACCAAATTAGCCAAATCGGTCCGGCCGTTCTCGAGTTTTAGCGAGTTTTAACGAACAGCAATTCATTTTTATTTTTTATCTATAATTTATATCTTAGATTTGTTGACAATTGGTATTGTAAAGTTATAAATTAATTGTGACCTAAACGATAAAACGCCAAGTGTACCTGTAGCGAACGATTTGATTATACCGAGATTTGTATCTCGCAGAGGCAGGTTCAATTTTTTTTACATAACAAGAAATTAAAATTAATTATAATAAGCTAAAAATTGATCATTTGCTGGAGGTAAGACTTCGTCAGGCATTTATGGGTAGACTCCATCAACTTGCTTACGACTGCCACAAAGCAGTCATGCTTTCCAGTTTGATGACTAGCTCTTATGGTACACAATCGAAACTTTGTTTGATTTGTCGTATGTATCAAGTTGCGTGGCGTTGCATTCACGTTTGTTAAGTACGGGCTTCGGAGAACACAGAATACCCGATAAACGAATGCAGTAAAAAAACTGAATAACAATCACGATGCTATTGCCAATAAAAATAATACGTTTTAACCACTATTTTTTACTACTGACTTATGAAAATTAACTAAGAAAACAGGCATTTTATTTGTTTATTTTTTATTGCTTAGATGGGTGGACGAGCTCACAGCCCACCTGATGTTAAGTGGTTACTGGAGCCCATAGACATCCACAACGTAAATGCGCCACCCACCGATATAAGTTCTAAGGTATCAAGTTTAGTTACAACGGTTGCCCCACCCTTTAAACCGAAACGCATTACTGCTTTACGGCAGAAATAGGCAAGGCGGTGGTACCTACCCGCGCGCACTCACAAGAGCTCCTACCACCAGTAAATTTTGTTCTACCACCACCAATTTGCTAAATGCTGGCACACTTGATTTGTAACGGCCAACCTAATCGCCGATTATTTACTAAGTGGAATTAGCTTCTGGCTTCAATAGCTAGTAGTGAACTTACTGTTGTAAATGTTTAACGGCAGCTTTAATAGTTTCTTCTGCCGGTGGAGCCGCCATATCCTTTAAAGCATCAGCAGCTTTACCGAGTCGAAGCCGTTTTATGGCAAGCACGGGCTCGAGTAGGTCGCTCCTCTGCATCTCAGGCTTTAGGCTCGGTTCGAGTTTCCCAGCTCGGAACGATGTCACTAGGTGATAACAGACGCCGGGTTGGCATCTACCGGCGCGGCCTCGTCTGCGATATTGTAAATCTATTGGTAAGGGTACGCGAAATGCGTAAATAGGATGGATTGTCGATAAGATTGATGATTGATTGATTGATTGATTGGTTTAACGGCCGTCTGGTGTATTGGTAAGTGACATGGTCACTATACAAGGGGGTCGCGGGTTCGAATCCCGCCAAGGGAAGATATTTGTATGATTATAAATATAGAAATGTCTTTTCGGGGGTATGGATGTATGTATATTAAATATACGTATGTGTATAATAAAAATCGTACATTTATTTCAGTCATCTGGTACCTGTAACACAAGTTCTTTACGAACTTAGCACGGGACCAGTTAACGTGGCGTGATTGTTAGGAAATATTTATTTTATTTATTTATTGCGAATGGCCAAAATATAGCACACAAAGATCCAATCCACGAGTATATATAGATGTAGTGAGAAATTATTATTATTTATTAAATTATTATTTTTATTTTATTTTATTATGGTACTGAAGCTATTTGAGAGAGCACGATAAATACGAAATTTCCAAAAAATTGCGAAGGAAAATCTTTTCTCACTATATCTATATCTACGATAAATATCTATACAAGCATATGTTATGTCCAACTATTGAACAATTTCAAAATAATATGCCGAGATTTATTTTGAATATTTGTTTGTTTAACTAAGAGTAAACATGCAAAAAAAATAATTAGAGAAGTTTTGCTATTCCACAAGACTCTAAAAGCGATAAAAGGGTTAAATGAATCTATCTATGATTGCATTTCAAACAAATCTGTCCCTTAATATATTTTGGTTTATTCAATTTCGGAAAGAATTTCCCGCCTTTAGATTAGAAAATAAAAAAAAACAATTTCTAAAATCTTCATGACCAAATTGTTTAATTTCCGTTTCTATTTTAATTAGTCATTAAAATAGTATTTCTGTTAGTAGTCGAAAGCTGTGGAAACAGATAAAAACTATATTAGTTTTTAAACTTAAACTAATCATCATACCTTTGTCGCAAATTGGCCTGAGATATCCACTCAGTCTTCAAAGTCGAGATGTTGTCCGCTATGCTTAGTCCGCTGTATTTAATCTTACCGCAATCGATTACGTATACAATATCATCGATAGTAATTGATGTTTCAGCTATATTCGTAGCTATTATGATTTTTCGGATACCGGTCGGTGGTCTTTGGAAAATCTTGTGTTGTTCCAAAGAAGGTAGTCGCGAATGTAGAGGATATATGTCGAATTTCGATCTCGGAAATTCGCAACTCTGCTCCATCACGGACATGAGCTTGGTTATATCACCGATTCCCGGTAAAAACACCAGGACGGCGCCGGGTTCTTTACTGCTAATTAATTTAAGAACTTCTACAATTAAATCAATATTAATATCTTCGATCCTTGCATCTAATAATGTAGTACATACATCCCAACCGATTTTGCTTCTTATGGTTTCTAGCCATGGTCCTGTATAAAATTAAATATTGCAATTTATTACATATAGGATTCTAATATAGTAGAATGGTTTACAAGCGAAAGCCTTATAAGAAATTAGTAAATAGTACTAGATGAATGAGGCATTAAAGCCTTTGGAAAAAATTCTGTTAGTAGTAAAAAGTTTCAGTAGCAACCTACTAAACCTTTTTACTCTGACTGGTCATTGCATCATTTGCCCATCTAATTTAATCAAAATTAGCCTACTCTATGAAATGTACAAGTGACACCGGTACTCACCAATTTCTGCTTTATATTGTATGTCTTTTTCCATTTCAGAGGCTGCCGTAGCTTTAGCCTTTTTCGTGTGATTTTGCCAAGTCTTTCTCTTATCAGCTCTTTTGTTTTCAGCGGGTGGCAACTTATATCCAGTCATTTTCAATATCTCTTCTAAATAAACATCTTGGACAGGATATGCTATACCTTCAATGTGGATTCTTTGACAGTCACCAAAGTAGGAAGTGAGATGTTCAGCATTTATTGTGGCACTCATAAGTATTAGTTTCAAGTCTTTTCGCTTATTCAGTACCTAAAATATACGCATTATTAATTCACAAATTGTTTTAAGTACTTTTACCGTAATATAATTGCCAAATCTAAAACAACCTTTTTTAGCATACACATAGACAAGTCGATATGTGTGTCCCTTTCATGCACTTCATCGAGGATAATATGGCTATAGTTAGACAAACTTTGATTAACTTCAAGTTCAGTCAGTAGTATACCTGTGGTACAAAACATAATGCTTCCTAGAGGCCTTGGATCAACCCTGGAAGTTTAAAAAAAATGACTTATTTAGACATGAAAGAATAAATAAGTGAATTTATGGGGACGTACTTCAAAATATAGCCGTCAGGACCTAAAGACTAAGACGTCCGGTGCATTCGTATCTATTGACGCAACGATGTTCGAAATTCGAATCCCGCAGGCGGGTACCAATTTTTCTAACGAAATACGTACTTGTCGTTCACGATTAACTTCCACGATCAAGGAAGAACATCGTGTAATAAAAATCAAACCCGCAAAATTATGATTTGCGCAATTATTGGTGGTAGGACCTCTTGTAGCCGCACGGGTAGGAACGTTTCGGTTTGAAGGGTGGGGCAGCCGTGGTAACTATACTGAGACCTTAGAACTCATATCTCAAGGTGGGTGGTGGCATTTACATTGTAGATGTCTATGGGCTTCAGTAACCACTTCGACTGGGGGCCGTGAACCCATCCAACCAAATATACAAAAAAAAAATTGAATCTTTTTTATTATCACAAATTGTTTTAACTTTTGTCCCGTTATGATCTGTGTTCCAACTTGAACTGTGTGATGTAGACCTAAAATAGTACTAAACCGTCTGATACCGATAATAGGGCGTATTGTGAGCCTTCACAGTTAGATACCACCATCCTGTCTACTTCTGACGCAAAGTAGTCCTGGATTCCGGTTTGTAAGATGAGAAAACTTTTATACACTACAGATGATTTCATCTTAGAGACTTAGAACTCATGTCTCGAGGTGGGTGGCGACATTCCTGTTGTAATAGTATGGGCTCCGGTACCACTTTACAGCAGAGGGGTCTTGAAATCATTCACCCATCTAAACAAAAATATATTTCTAGACTATTTTTATTACTATTGAAGTTCACAAGCTCTTTATAGTTCGAATTAAAGTCTTTTCACTTCACAATAGTTTATTTAAATGTTATAACAAATCAAAACAGAAAATTTTCGGGTGTACTAAAATAAAACTTAAACATGAGATCGCGTGATATTGAGACGTGGTGACCGAGTTGAAATTGTGCGTGCGTTCGCCGTCAGATCGTGGCTCGACTCGTCGCTGCGACCGAGCGCAAGCGATTTTGTATTTTACAATACGAGTACTGAGTAGGTATCGTTCCTACACTACTCCCCCGCTGAGACCGAAGGTTATTGAGGTCGATAGTAGTCTGGAAAGTGAACGGTCCGGCCTGATCTCGTCTTCATTGAAGGGGTTGGATCAACTGCAGGTGGAATAGTGCTGATGTTGGTGTTCCCCGTTTTGGCATCCTCTTTGGCCATGTGTGCTGTTTTCAGGCGGTCAATGGAAACAGTCGTTTCTCTTTCGTTTGTAAGAATTTTAAAAGTTTTGTTTCCTCTTTCAATGACTTTATAGGGGCCGGTGTATGGAGCTTCTAGTGAACGCCTGACTGCATCTTGCCGGANACCAATTGAAGTTCACAAGCTCTTTATAGTTCGAATTAAAGTCTTTTCACTTCACAATAGTTTATTTAAATGTTATAACAAATCAAAACAGAAAATTTTCGGGTGTACTAAAATAAAACTTAAACATGAGATCGCGTGATATTGAGACGTGGTGACCGAGTTGAAATTGTGCGTGCGTTCGCCGTCAGATCGTGGCTCGACTCGTCGCTGCGACCGAGCGCAAGCGATTTTGTATTTTACAATACGAGTACTGAGTAGGTATCGTTCCTACACTATTTTACCTGCCTAGAGCGGAAATAATCAAATGACACATAACAGGAGATTACCATAAATAATTTTACTGTTGTTAGGACCTTTTACTGGTGGTAGGACTTCTTGTGAGTCCGCGCGGGTGGGTACCACCACCCTGTCTATATCTGCCGTGCAGCAGTAATGCGTTTCGGTTTGATGGGTGGGGCAGCCGTTGTAACTATACTTGAGACCTTAGAACTTATATCTCAAGATGGGTGTCGCATTTACGCTGTGGATGTCTATGGGCCAGTAATCACTTAACACCAGGTGGGCTATGAGCTCGGCCACCCAACTAAACAATAAAAATAAAAAAACTCAATAAAGCAAATAAGCCTAAGCCCAACTGAGTTTTGCCAACCTATTCAAATTATGGATCAAAAACTTTTTCATAACCAAGAATACCATTGAATTCTGTTACTAATTAATCCAGCATTAGCTATATGAAAAATGCCTAAATAATACAGCACAAATAAGGGCTTGATATAGAATAGTGATGTATTCTCACTTCTCCAATCTAACAGCATATCCCACACTATTCCCTAGTTTCTCATTTCTCTCTTCAGCCACTCTCATAGCTAATGATGAAGCTGCGATTCTCCTGGGTTGAGTTACTAGAATCTTCACATTTGCACCTCTTTTGTTAATAATGGCATCATCTAGAATTATTTGAGGTACCTGAAAACGTAAGATGTTGTTAGTATTTTACAAATTATGATCTTAAAATGATTTTCTGTAGCATAAGTGTAGATGTGACATAATTTTTAGTTTAATTTAAATTTAGTTAAATTTAAATCGGTTTTAATTTTTAAACATTTTTTTTTTCAAATTTTAATGTTCTTATTGTCAACTATTAGTGTTACTGTCAATATTCTCTTATTTCCCATGAGTTTTGCAATGCAAGAATCGTAAGTGACACTTATGTCAACTTTGATCAGTTTGGAAAAACTTGTTTTACTATGGGTTACAATTTTTATACCTGTGTCGATTTGCCACATCCTGTTTCTCCACTTATGACCAAAACTTGATTATTGTTGATCATGTTTAAGAGCTCTTCATATTTTTGGTATGTAGGTAGCTTGTCACGAAATTTCATGTGCAATTTATAACCATCTTTGCTCAACATATCATTGTATTCTTCTATCATTGCAAAACTGAGATCATTATTTACTTCATTCTTAATATTAATGTTGATTCCTCTTGCCAAGCATTCATCTAATTTTTCATCAAACGTCCCAGTTATGATGTCTTCGTAGCCATATTTATAGTTAACTGAACTTCTAAGTGATAAAAAACGGTTCTCTAATTTGATTTCCACAGTTTCATCCTTTACTGAAATAAAATCCTTAGATGACCCTGGGGTCATTAAAACATCATTATCAGTTTCCAAAATTTTGTTTTTTTTATCTGGTGAACATATTGCAGTATCATCTATTTCTTTTTGGATACTTCCAAAAACAGGTATACCATTTGATTTGTTGTCAACACTGCTTGGTGAACGTAATTCAGCATCTTCAGATATCATTGAAATATCTTCTAGCTTTTTAAAATCAGTTAGTGGTGTTTTTGCTTCAAATAGATTTTCATTATCACGTGCCTGCACACTGTTTTTGTTTTCAGCTGCAGTCGTGTTCATGTACATGGCTTCATGTAATGACAGTTCAGGTTTTAAGCCTATTGTACCTTTTGGTGTTTCTGCAATAGTCAATTTTTCTATTGGTTTTATGCAAATGTTCAGTCCTTTAGCAAGCTTTTCTATTGATGCTAAATTACTATACAGTGATGAGACAATGCTTGGTGGAATTTTGAAGCGTATCTGAAATTAACCAACTGATACTCAAAACGATAAAAGTTTAATAAAATAAAGTTCATATATGAACCTTGACAGACTTGGAATCTCTAATCCACAAATAGACACCAGCAAAAGCTTAAAATAAAATAATGTTAAAAACTGCTTATATGTGAATTATAAAATTACTGTTCCAATTTTGGCAAATTTGGCATTCATATGTTCATGTTTAAGAGCTTTGCGAACTTGCTATCACATACATTGGATTACTAAATATCACATCTTATGTTTCGCAGTTCAGTGTATGTCAATGCCAATCCAAAAAAAATTTGGCATATAAGCTTAATGTTTAAATAAGAATTAATTTATTTAATAGAATTTATCTACTGGGTTAACACATACACAATGTCATATTATTAATTCAATTTGTTCACAATAATATTTTTTGCTTCAAGGTTTGTTTTATAAGAAAAAATAAATTGTTGAATAAAGGATAGTATTTAAGCTATTATTTAACTTTAAATAGCACTTTCAAGCAAATATATTCATTTAATGATATTTTCATAAAATTCAAGAAATCCTTTCAACTTCATAATTTGCAAGTGTATCAATAACCAATGACAAAATATTAATTTTATTACTTTGGCCTAATATCCTGCCTATGAACAGGTTTCTTTAGTTCGGCTTATTATTAGAGGGTGATTTTTTTAATTAATTTTTAATATTTACAACAGTCAAATACTTTATCAATTAATCTCATAATTCCCTTACCACATTGTTTTTCTTATTTTTCTTTCCTTTTTCAATACTTAAAGCTTTATAATACATTCCAATTTCTTTGCCTCTTAGACCCGATTTCGGTGGTCGTGGCCTATCAAACCTATCAAAAGAATTATATCTCCGAGGCATTTTAAAAAAAATATCTGTAAAAGTTTTGTGGGTTAAAATTTCAAATGTATGGGATGTGTATTGTTTAATATTATATGTTTTAAATGGTGTTGGTATATATTATTCGCTTTGAAATAAACTAATGTAATTTTATTGAAACTAACTTAAAATTCCGTGGAAAATTAAATGTTTTTTAAGCATTAGAGCTCATTATCCTGCTTACTTCTTGCAACCTCAAATAGAATTAATATGTGTATAGTAAAGTGAAATATATATAGTCTATAGCATATTAAGTGTATAATCTATGGTCTATAGTATAGGTCAGTGTGACCAGATTTTATTTGACGAATCTATTGCTTGTGGAGGTTAAAATCTACTGAATTCTACCAAAAGAGAACGAGAAATACTAAAAATCTATAATACTTTTTTTTGCTGTCGTGTATAACGTAAAAACATGAATTTTTCCTTGATTAAACAATGAAAAACAAAAATAACAAAGAAACCACCATTAATTCAAGAGACAAATGTTATTTTTTTAAATTAAATTCTAAAAAAAAATAAAAAATAAAAAAAAACTTAAACTTAAAATTCTTCGTCTTTAAGTTGGGTAACATTTTCATAAAGTTGTTTGGAATCCATTAACTTGTTAATACTTCTGTCAGGATCAAATGTGCGACATCCTCCTTCCAACTGTCGCCATGTCGTAGCCCCTCTTTTCATGCATTATTGCAGCAACATTCTTATTATTAAATACCATCTCATCTTATTTTATTAAATTTCATCCCAGTTGATTAATGTCTCAAATTAATCATCTTCATTTCATTTCATTTCATTTCATTTTACTCCATAATATCATCATTTTTCATAAAACTATGAATATAATATTAAGTTAAAATAAGGCATGCCTAAAAGTCTTAGTTACCAGGTCAAAAAATCCCATAAAAAAATCAAATAAAGTCAGTGTAGGATTACCACAGGATTACATAGGTGACTGAAGTTAGCCCCTCAAAAAAATTTTTCTTTCCTGTTTTCTACTTATTTTCTATTAATTCGTTTGTTCATCATTTGTTCTTGATTGTTCACTGTTAATAATTGTTTGTTCTGCATTTATTTATTTTAAAAAAATTATTAAAAATATCTGTACAAGTTAGCCCCTCGATTGCAATTTTTAATATTTTTTCGTCCTTAATGACTCGTAAATATTAATTTTCGATTGTTCTTATATAAAACACGTTTGTTCTCTTTCGAAATTACTCGTTTTTTGTTTAATTTACTATTTGTATTAGTTGAATAAATGTATGCAAAATATGTGTACTGCGCATGCGTCAACTATAATGCCTAAACTTTCTACGCGGTTTTAATCGTGAAAAGAAAAACAAATATAAATCCTGAAAGAGCAATTAATTGGTATACAGTTTAATTAAAAAAATTAAAAATAAATAAATGAAATAATGTACATTGGCGTAAAGTTAGACCAAATATATTTTTTCCATCCTCGTACCTATCGATAATATGTTCATTATTTATCTTTCAAGAGATAATGTAGGTATACATTTTAATAACTTTTTTACACAGTCGAAATTATATTCCTAAAAAATCTATAGGATTATATGTAGACTGTAGTAGTAGTAGTAGTAGTAGTAGTAGTAGTATGTAACTTCCTAATCATAATCATCAGCCCATATAATATATCCCCTTGCTGGACACTGGCCTCCACTACCATTGAGAGGGTTTTTAGGCCTTAGTCCACCACGCTGGCCTAGTGCTGGTTGGTGGATTACACACCTAAGAAAATCCTAAGAACATTTAGGTGTGCAGGTTTCATCACAATATTTTCCTTCACTGTTAAAGTAAGTAAGTGATATTACACTGTGATAAATTTTCATTATCACAAACTTCCTAGTACCTTATGTAATAGGAACTGAGGTCCACTTGCCCATTTTGGTTACTTCCACTAACTAACTAACTATTCTCGTTTTTTCTGATATTGTTATTTGATTATGAGATCTGTGAGTGTTACTAATTATTGACAGTTACACCTACCTTGACTACAAGATGGCAAAGGTATAATAATATAACACGTCTCATTTTTAGTCGTCTCTTCAATCTCCTTGACAATAATGAGTCTTTGCCGTTTCACAAATGCAGGCCGAGGTACACTTTGAGTGAATTTTCGTTTTCTATCTGCCCGACAATCGAATTTGGATGGTAAACAGTTTGGTTTCATTCGAATTCATTTGATGGAGTCCATTATCTTGTATTGCATATAATTCTCAATGTCGTTTTCCAGCTAAAACATGAAATAATTTTCCAACACTTTCAATACATAACCTATAAAAAAAATATAAAAATGTTATTTTACTAATGTTAGGAATATAATTTCGACTGTGTAAAAAAGTTATTAAAATGTATACCTACATTATCTCTTGAAAGATAAATAATGAACAAATTATTTACTTATTTGTTTATATTACCTATGTGAACTCCCTATCTTTTTTATACCTTCATAACGATAGGTAGGAGGATGGAAAAAATGTATTTGGTCTAACTTTACGCCAATGTACATTATTTCATTTATTTATTTTTTAATTTTTTTAATTAAACTGTATACCAATTAATTGCTCCTTCAGGATTTATATTTGTTTTTTTTTTCACGATTAAAACCGCGTAGAAAGTTTAGGCATTATAGTTGATGCATGCGCAGTACACATATTTTGCATACATTTATTCAACTAATACAAATAGTAAATTAAACAAAAAACGAGTAATTTCGAAAGAGAACAAACGTGTTTTATATAAGAACAATCGAAAATGAATATTTACGAGTCATTAAGGACGAAAAAATATTAAAAATTGCAATCGAGGGGCTAACTTGTACATATATTTTTAAATATTTTTTCAAAATAAATAAATGCAGAACAAACAATTATTAACAGTGAACAATTAAGAACAAGTGATGAACAAACGAATTAATAGAAAATAAGTATAAAATAGTAAAAAAAATTTTTTTGAGGGGCTAACTTCATTCACCTGGATTACATACCTATGTACATAGATCACTTAATATATTTGACACTTAATAAATTCGAGACCTATGTACATACCTACATTTATTATTAATAATCAGAAAATTTAAAAAAATGCTAGATTTAATGTGTTTACAAAATAATAATGTTAATACTTTCACTGACTTTAAATGAACACATTTGAGAAATAAAGACAAAATTCTTATAAAATGCTTCGGACCGTAGGTTATTTCTTTTTAAAGTGAGCTTGAAAGTTTTAAAATATTTACTTCAATTATATACCTTGTTTCAGGAGTTTGGTGCTTTGTTATGTCGAGGACGTAAGAAAAGGATTGTGACATTGATACTAATATTGATATTTTTAATAAACGCTATGTTTTATGTTAGTTTTGAATTGTATAATACAGTTATGAGAAAAAATAAGAAGCTCTGGTATAACAGGTGTGTATTCTACATTATAAATTTGCACATAAAAATACACTATATCATTACACTAGATGGATAAAGCTCATGGCCTTGTGGTGTTAGTGGTAGCTGGAGCCCATGGATCTTGAGACATGAGGCTGTTTGAACTGAGAAGCTGTACAGTAGTAGGTATAAGTAAATAGGCCTACAAGAGTGGGAATTAATGGATAGACAATGATAAATTTGACCAATTTCATTGAGAGCCATTGACTTGAGCTAGAGATTCTTTTCTGAATATACTTGGTTTTTCTTCCTAAAAATAACAATAAGAAAACCAACAATTTTTTAATTGAATGTTGTCCACAACATTCATTTCATTTATCAGAACTAGCATTTGCTGAATGATCAAAATACAAAGACAATCACCTAAAGATTTAGGTTTATTTTATGGATAAAATAAACCTAAATTTTGATAAATAATGATAAGTTATCATTGTTTATTATTGTCTAAACTAGTTCTTTCCTGTATTTCCTAAGGACTATCTGTGTTTTGTATGGAGTGATTGTTTTGAATTATTTTGAGGTACAACTATATATAATTTATTTTATTTAATATTGTAGACTGAAGTATGATAAGAACTCATATGTTGATGAAAGTGGTATGAGAGTTATCGTCGGACATTATGTTGGTGGTATGGGAGGAGGGAATCTATCAGAAGGTAAAAGAATCATTGGAATTGTGTAACATTGTTTTTTAATTTACTTAATCTAATACTGAATACTTGGAGTTCCAGAGTTAAATGTTTACCAGAGTCTATAGAAATCAATAATGTAAATGCCTCCACCCAGAGAAATGTGTTCTAAGTCTCAGTTCTTATGGCTGCCCTACTTTCAAACCTATTTTGGTTTGAAATAGGCAAGATGGTGTTACCTATACATGTGGGCTCAGAAGACATGCTACTCTAATAATGACGTAAACTAAAAATTTCTTAGTTCTTCTTTTCATTAACGCAATCTTTTATCTGTTCATGGTGGAAGTATTTCATGTTAGTTTAAAGTTAGTGTTTAAAATTAATTAATATATTTATATACATTATAAACTTATCAAATAATTTTTACAAGAAAATATAACCAATACTAGTGTATTCCTATTTAAAACACTAGTGCCTTTCAAATTTAGTGAGGGTGGCCAGGTACCAGGCGCCAGGTACCCTGGCTGTGAATCCAATTATGGTATCTATGGTATGGATCAGATTCATTTTATCTGAGCTTGTTGATTATCTTATTGACTTTGCTATGATTGAACACTGGAGTATTGAAGTTAAAAAATATAATATAAATTTAAATGATGAAACCATTTTCAGTGAGTGTAAAACTGTTCTATTAATTATCTTTACTTGCGAAAGTCTAAAATACTGTGTTCTTTACAGAAATAATGCACACTAATAACTATTCACCAGTACCTGGAGCCGGAGAGGGTGGTAGACCTGTGCAGTTGTCTCCACGAGAGCTCATCACTGCTAGAGAGCTCTATACATTACATTCTTATAATATACTTGTTAGTGATAGGATAGCTATTAATAGAAGTCTTCCTGATATGCGAAGTGATAGGTGAGTGGTTTCTTTATTACTTATTTTTTACTATATAATAGATACAAGTAAACAAAAGATTAAATTCAAGATAATTAATTTGTAACTATACCAATTTTTGTAGTTGGAAAGACTTGATTCTGGGCAAGTGCTAGTCATATCTACAACTACACGTTAGCGGCAGGGTGTCTGAAGATAGACAGCCAAGTTGACTTGCCATTGACTTCCGCGATTGTTACGCAATATGTTTATTTCCAACAGTTTGTACTAAATGGACCCAAGATCCTCCTCCTTGCATCAATAATCCTCAATGACAAGGATTGTTTGTTTGCTTATTGAAGAACGTTATTTTTTTAATTAAGCATTAAAACAAATAATAATATCTAATCAACACTTTTATATAAGAGTTAAATTTTATTTACTTGGAAATTTAAAAAAACACAGTTATTTTAATCTGTTCCATTTTATCTTAAGATTTATTCGTTCCGAAATATATCATGTGCATCTTAATAATCCTTTTACTGCCGCTCACATATCTCAGGTGGTGATTAGCACTTGCACATAGAGTGTAACAGGGCTAGCCTGTTTTTAAAATCGGAAGACAATAGGGCTAGACAAAAATGGTAGGATGTTTAGGCCCACCCATCATAGCGGCGGGAGAGGAGATGGCTATTGAGTAATACTTACCTTTTAGTTTCAATTACTTAATAAAAATATTAAATTAGTTGTAGAAGCGTCGTGTATGATACGGAAGAACTTCCGACTGCTAGTGTTATAATAGTCTTCCATAATGAGGCCTGGTCTACGTTAATGAGGACCATCATGTCAGTTCTGATGAGGTCCCCACAGCTTTTACTAAAGCAGGTAAGGTTCCTATGTAGTTTTAAGGAATTGTTTTTTTTGTCTAATTTAGTATATACCTAGTCAGGTCATAAATTCTGTCACATGTTTAATGTGAAATAATTGAAACAAGTTTATTCATTATGTAACCATTCATATACCAAAATGAACTTAACAAAACATAGATTCTTATGACATTAAAGTTTATTCAAAATGACCTCCGTGATTTTGAATACAGGCCTTCAATCTGCAAGGCCAGTCGTCTATCGCAGCACGAACGAGGTTCATGTCAATATCGGCGGCTGCCTTAATCAAGGATGTCTTGAGTACTCCAAATTGGGATGAGGCTTTGAGCACGCCTTTTTTTTTTTTTTTTTTGATATTTTATGACCTGGTAACTAAGACCTTTAAGTCATGTCTTATTTTACTTTATATTCGTAATTTTATGAAAAATGATAATATGGAGTGAAATGAAATGAAGATGATTAATTTGAGACATTAATCAACTGGGATGAATTTAATGAAATGAGATGATATGGGATGAAATATAATCGCAGTAAAATGGTGGTCATTTACTGAGATTTTTTCAGTGGACTTTTTGGAGGAACCCGAGAAGTTACGTCCAGCAGCTTTGTTT